CCTCCCCGATAACAGCCAATATAAAGATGTACACACTGGAATGATAAGGATTCAACANCCGATTTCGTCAAAGTTAAAAAAACGGAAAAAATTTTATGTCTTAGATGAAACATCAGATATTCTAAAAAATAATTAAAATTGGTTTATTTCGATTTTCTTTATGAATCCTTCACTTTGACCCATATTTCATGAGCAACCAACTCGGCAACGGCGGCAGAATGCGTCACCTATTTTCGTGTACAATGTTTGATCTATAAATAAGTCTAGAAAAACACGTTGTATGGGTACCGGGTGGTATAATTGACTTCTCTTAATATTTATCTTTAATATCATTTCAGGGAGCCGCGGTGTCTCAGTGAGTTAGACGCTTGCTCGCTAACCTGAATGTCCAGGGTTCAATCCCGGTCGAGATAATACCTGCGGATTTTTCAACCCGATTTCCCCCTGTCAGTGATGCAGGTACGAGGGGCTGACATTGAAAAAGCATCTAGTCGTTCGGATTGGGCAATAAACCGAGGCCCCGTGTGCTACAGGCTGTGCACGTTAAAGATCCCTCGACAGTTGGAAATCGTAAAAGAGCAGGCTAATACCGCTGTCCTGGCAAAATTTCCCTCATTGCATCGTGCATGGCGTTGCCCGTCTTCATTAGCCCACATGGTGCAGAAAAGTAGGACGTAAAACTCCATTCATTTCATTTCATTTTAATATCAATTTATATAACTAGTGACAATTCCTTCAAAGAACCACGATTTAAAAAAAAAATAGTGACTACAAAATAAGATACGTAGCGTGATTTATTGCTAAAAGTCACTGAAACAACATAAGAATATGGACTACATTGTGTTCCATAGAAATTTTCTGCCAACACAGAATCCGCTAGTTGATCACGTGACTTCATTCGTTGGAATATATTCTAGCAGACGACACTTGGAATTCCGATTACCGCTTGGGATTATAAGGAAATTCGGCCCAAAAATAATGGTGACGTTTGGTAATAACTGAAATCCGCCATTTTGTATTTGTCAAAGTATACATTATTACATTTTACCTTCTTGAAACTACTGGATTCATTCTACTAGCTGATATTGTAGAGAAAACCCATGTTTATCAAAACAAACTAATGCGGAGGTCGCGCAAGGTCGCTCAAGTAAATTATTAATCCTTTCCGGAAATCCACGAATAATACGTTTCCACGAAATTACGTTACTTGACTGTACTGGTAAAATAGTCGATTTTTACAAACTGAAAATGGGAATATGCACAAAAATTCTACATTGTAACAAAAATAAATGATGCTGTCTGTCTGGCCATCCCATTTAATGTGAAAGGATTTGGTCAAGGCAGTTTATGATGAAGTTGTAATCACATCAACTTGAAACTAGGTACACATCTTCATTATGAATAGATATTTCTCAAATATGCCAAATTTTCATGGTTCACTGTACATAGAAAATGATAATGCCAGTGGGGCATAAGTGTACCGTGGACAAAATTTCTTGTTTACATTTTTATTAACCTGATCATTTTAGTGCTACTATGTACAATAATTTTCTCTTTTTTTAAGGAACTTGCCAGCTGCTAAGATGACGAAGTATATTGTTTTTGAGGCCAATTTGCTAGAACTTTTTGATAGGTGCAGAGTGTGTATGACACCTTGCAGTGGGAATATCAATTCTATCTCGTTTCGGTTTATCTGTAGAGATCCAATGAGATATGCGTATGCGCCAATCGGTTGCTATCACGCTTTGAAGCCAAGCAGTCGCAATTATAAAACAGGACGAGTTTCTTCAAATTTTTTTTTAAATTTATTGAACCCGTTGAATCTTATCAACAACTTTAAAGATGAAGAAATCGTCAGGGTCTAGTAGCGAGTAGTGAGCTTCTTGGGTCATGGTTTTCACAATTGTGTTTGAGAAGACATGAACTCATCAGACCTGAGTTCCACTCAGAGTATTTACATTTGTGCTCTCCATCAATCAAGTATACTGACAAACTTTTTGGAGATGAGATTGAGAAAAAAAGACATTACAGATGTCAATAGAGTTAGAAGTCGTTTGAAAAATTCCTCTCAACGTGTAAGAAGCAATACTTTCACACATTCATGGAAAAATAATCGGGAACGTTTCACACCATATTGCAAAACAAATCCTAGTTTTTTTAGGAAAAAGCCGCCCACATTATGGAGACGGACCTACATACAAACAACAACAGAAGACATATCAGAAAACAAAGCAAAGAAAAGACTAGAGCCACTCGTGGCACAGAGTGGGACTTTGCAAATGTAGCAAATTGCAAAAGACCCTGAAAAAATCATCCTTCCACGATAATTAGATCAAGCGCAAGAACAGTCTAAAGTTGAGAAATTTTCATTTTTTTTTGGAACTATAAAGCTGAAACAACTGAGCTGTTAACACAAACTGTCCAAAAGGATGAGGTAATTGTGTGCAAAGTCCCTTTTTTAACAAACGTATCCTATGCGAGTTATGCCCCAGCCCCAAAATGTAAACAATTAGTAATTCAAACCGGATGTGCCACGCCCACCTCAATTTTTTTGCCACAGGTGAATTCATATTCAAAGTGTCTAGTTGTATACCAAATATCAAGGTTCTCCATAAAATAGGCCATAAGATATACATACACCAAGATCAAAAAGACACAATTATGGTAAAACAAAACTCAAATTTGAAAAAATCACAAATTTCAATTTTGCTTTAAAAAAGCAATTGTTCTATATCTATGTAAAATGCATGAGAAGAACATTAGGAAACCGAAAAAATTAACCCTCTAGGTTAATTAGGTCACGTGTTAGAGCAGTCCAAAGTTGCGAATTTGGCTTTTTACGGATAGCTATAAAACCGGAAGTACATGTCTGGGGTCAAAGGTAATGATAGCCAAGGTCAATGACCTTTGACCCTAAAAAGGTCAAGGTCATCAAAGGTCAAGGTCACGAGATACAAGCCTTCAAAAAGTGAAAAAATTCGACCGGAAGTTGCGAAAAAAGCAAAAGTCAAATTCAAAAATCCATTTCCAACATTTTTGTCGCCATCGACTAAAGTATACACCAACATAAAAATTTGACCAATCCCATTCTCCCCCGAAGCCCCATTTTGAGTTTTATGAAAAAGTATCAAATCAAGATGGCGGCCGAAGTATTTTTTTCGGACTAAATTTTATTTTAAAATCGGCCATAGAATTAGGATTAATAACGATATACATAATTTCGTTGAAATATTTCAATCACACCGGAAGTTATTCAACCAGAAGTGAAAATCGATTTTCCACTTTAACCGGAAGTGACGCAAAAATTTTGAATACGTCAAATGGTTTACATTAGTGACATGCATCTTTTATCAAAATTTCAGATTAATCCGAAAAAAACTGAAAAATGGTCCAAAAATTTCGAAAATCGGCCAAAAAATGTATGCTACGAATTTTCGAAATTTGAAATTTTTTAAGTGCTAACAGTGCAAAAATACGCCTTCTAGAACCGATTTTCGACTTTTTGCACATGTTGAACTGTGGCACTTCCGGTTTTGCAAAAATGTTTCAGTATACACTTAAGGAACACGTCGCCACTACAGAAGGTCTAGAGAAGTTGAATGGTTGCTGCAACTACTGTAGTCTAAGCTCAGGAAGGTGTGTAAATTTCGAAAAAAAAAAAAAAACTAGAGCCACTCGTGGCACAGAGTGGGACTTTGCAAATGTAGCAAATTGCAAAAGACCCCGAAAAAATCATCCTTCCAGGATAATTAGATCAAGCGCAAGAACAGTCTAAAGTTGAGAAATTTTCATTTTTTAGAAGATTCTAATACCGGAAGTAGACGTCAGACCTTACAAATGAAAGTATCAGCAGATAGCCAAGGTCAATGACCTTTGATCTTGTAAAAGAGAAAGTCTAAAAAGGTCAAGATCAAGAGATATACGTCATAAAAATTTCTAATTGCACACGACTATAAAACCGGAAGTTGACATAGGACAGCAAATATGAAAGTACAAATAGATAGCCAATGCCAATGACGTTTGATCCTACAAAGGTCAAGGTCAACAAAGGTCAAAGTCAAAAATTGAAAATTTTCAATTTACAAAACCTGTTCCTTTTTTTGAACTAAGAAGCGGAAACAAACGAAATTCTAAGACAAAGTGGCTCACAATATGAGGTAATTGTATGCAAAGTTCCATTTTGAACAAATGTATACTTTGCGAGTTAAGCCCCTGGCCAAAAATGTCAATAATGAGTAATTAAACCCGGAAGTGCCACGCCCACTCATTTTTTTTTTTAATAAGTTAATCAATATTCAAAATGTTACGTTATGTTCCAAATGTCAAGTTCCTACATACTAGAGGTCAAAAGATATAGGTCAACAAAAGTCAACAAAGGTCAAAATCGAAAAATGAAAATATCCAAATGTTAAAACCCGTTCCTTTTTTGAAACTATAAAGCTGAAACAACTGAGCTGTTATTACATACTGGCCAAAAGGATGAGGTAATTGTGTGCAAAGTCTCTTTTTGAACAAACGCATCCTATGTGAGTTATGCCCCAGCCCCAAAATGTAAACAATTAGTAATTCAACCCGGATGTGCCACGCCCACATAAGTTTTTTGTCATAGGTGAATTCATATTCAAAGTGTCTAATTATATTCCAAATATCAAGGTTCTACATCAAATAGATCATAACATATACATACACTAAGCTCAAAAAGTCGCAAATATTGTAAAAAAAAAACTCAAATTTGAAAAAATCACGAATTTCAATTTTGCTTTAAAAAAACGATTGTTATATATCTATGTAAAGTACACGAGAAGCACATTAGGAAACCGAAAAAATTTACTCTCTAGGTTAATTAGGTCACGTGCTAGAGCAGTCCAAAGTTGCGAATTTGGATGTTTTTGGACAGCTATAAAAGCGAAAGTAGACGTCAGAGGTCAAATATGAGAGCATAAACTAATAGACAACGTCAATGACCTTTGACCCAATACAGGTCAAGGTCATCAAAGGTCAAGGTCAAAAATTGAAAATTTTGAATTCCAAAACCTGTTCCTTTTTTTGAACTAAGAAGCGGAAACAACCGAACGTCTAAGGCAAAGTGGCTCAATTCATGAGATAATTGTATGCAAAGTTCCATTTTGAACAAACGTATACTTTGCGAGTTATGCTCCTGGCCAAAAATGTCAATAATGAGTAATATTACCCGGATGTGCGACGCCCACCTTAATTTTTTTGCATAGGGTAATTGATATTCCAAATGTTATGTTGTGTTTCAAATTTCAAGCTTCTACATTATTCAAGTCAAAAGATATAGGTCAACAAATGTCAACAAAGGTCAAAATCGAAAAATGAAAATATCCAAATGTTAAAACCCGTTCCTTTTTTGGAACTATAAAGCTGAAACAACTGAGCTGTTAACACAAACTGGCGAAAAGGATGAGGTAATTGTGTGCAAAGTCCCTTTTTCATAAAACGTATCCTATGCGAGTTATGCCCCAGCCCCAAAATGTAAACAATTAGTAATTCAACCCGGATGTGCCACGCCCACCCCATTTTTTTTGCCATAGGTGAATTTATATTCAAAGTGTCTAGTTGTATTCCAAATATCAAGGTTCTCCATAAAATAGGTCATAAGATATACATACACCAAGATCAAAAAGACACAAATATGGTAAAACAAAACTCAAATTTGAAAAAATCACGAATTTCAATTTTGCTTTAAAAAAGCAATTGTTCTATATCTATGTAAAGTGCATGAGAAGAACATTAGGAAACCGAAAAAATTAACCCTCTAGGTTAATTAGGTCACGTGTTAGAGCAGTCCAAAGTTGCGAATTTGGCTTTTTACGGATAGCTATAAAACCGGAAGTACATGTCTGGGGTCAAAGGTCAAAGTATCAAATGATAGCCAAGGTCAATGAC